CCCTCTTAAAATCAGTTTGATATTATCCCTAGCTTATCAAATATAATTTTGAAGTGTTGTTATCGTTCCTAGTGAATAGTGAAGAATTGATAGTAAAGTGTCCGAGGGCCGGAAGACGTCCACCGTGGGAAGATGGAGACATTAAAGCCGTCGATCGGTGGTATCTGCACGGAAGGGTTGAGGAGGACGTTCGAAAGGGCTTAAGAAGGGCTTGGAAGGGTTACTTGGGTTCGAAGTAGGGCTAGAGTTTCCATGTTAAAATCCCTCGAGAGGGCGATCGGGCCCCGATCGCGAAGCGGGGCCCGACGCGGCCTTGAAGAGGAAGGCTCGCGCAGAGGAGCCGATCGGCCCCGCACCCACGCGAGATGGGGCCCAGTCGAGTAAAAAGTCGAGCAACCACCGAGACGGGCCCCTCGCATGCCGAAGAGCATGTAGACTCTATCGGTGGCCGCCTACGCGGTGCGTCCGGCCGGACGGTACCAATTCGGGCCGACGTGTCAGCCCGGGGCCCGTTCTTCAGGGTCTCCTCGGTAGTCCCGGCCACGGGGCGGATTCGTGCCGCGGAGATATGTGGTCGGAGGTGGCGAGGTACCACTTGTTAAAGTCAGAATTTAATTCCCCGGGACATGGCACTGCTCCCTCCGGGCGAGCAGGGAGATCGCGATACGGCCGGGGGGCAATCTAGCGAGGCGAATGCTCGAAGGAGCAGGAGAGGATGGATCCTCTTCCTCGGGGTCGGTCCCTGGGACTCGATCGGTTCGACCGAAGACCGGGAGATTCGACGTTTCCTAATACCTAACCGCGTCGATTAATTTCCTCTCCTTCATGGAAGCTGTCCTCGAATTCAATTCCTCCCCGAAAAAGACAGGGCGCCTCCACTTCGACCAGGAAGGGTCTTTCGATTTTTGTACCGATTTTTGTTATCACCAAAAACTGGATTATTTCTCAATTTTTGCAGGGCTTACTTCTCCTCTGATCACTTGATTTCAGCTATGCACTCGGAATTCAGGGTTGGGAAGTATTTAAGGATGGTTTCTCTTCCGCGGGGTTCGTTCCTAGGACTCGATCGGCTTGATTGAAAACCGGCACATCTGACGTTTCCTGGCACGTAACCAAGTCGAGTAACTTCTCTTTCCTCGTGGAAGACTTCCCTGAATTTAATTCCTCCCTCGGAAAGACGAGGCGCCTCCACCTCTACCAGGAAGAGGCGCCCTGCTCTCTCGATCCTTATAGCGATTTTTTCCCCGCCGACTACACTCGATTCGAGCTCCACATCCGGGATGCAGTCCTGGAAGTATTTAAAGCCGACAAGGCAAAAATCCGGGGATGTAATTGTGGGAGAGCGATAACTTCCTTCTTCGCTCTCTTCAAGGTACGTACCTCGGCGTGGGGCTCGTGGGTTTGGGGAAGAAGAACTCAATCGATCCTGCGCTAATTCTCCGGAGCTCCTTTCCGCTGGAGATCCGAGGCTGGTTACGCGAAGTGCCCTCGTCGAGGATGGGAGCGCCAGGTGCATCGTACCTGGGAAAGCAGTAATTTTTGTTATAATTTTCACCGGGACGCGGGGCTCGGCAAAATGGCGCGGCCGGTTCGGGAACGATGGGGCTTGCAGGGTTTACTTTTTTACGCTCCTCTCCCTCGAGTTATTGTACGGTAGTTTCCTTTCCGTTCCGGCGCCCACCGGCGGGTTCGTTATGCCCGGTGGATATAAAATTTAATTCCATTTCGCCGAAAAATAAAGCGCCTTAGCGCACACCCTGCGCAAGGTGCACCGCTCGGGCGGGGCGCCGGCGTCGGGACGCCCCGAGGAAGACGTTCCTCCGGCTGTATTTCTTCGAGGGGCAATTTCGTTGGGCCCCCGGACCAAATTAACGGGGCGTCGGGCTCACGTTATCGCGATTCCGGAATAACCTCGTCGAGAAGCGCGCGAAAGCGAGGGGGAGAGATGGAGAACGCGAGCGTTCTTCATGCTCGACCGCGTGTTGGCGTTCTCCAATTTAGCAGCTTCCTCTAGGAGATTGGAGAACGACTACGCGAGGTTGAAAATATTTCTACATACGTCGTCCAATTTATCAAGGGGGCAATCTTCGTTGTCCAGCAGTCGAAGTTCTACAATATGTAAGAACGGTCGCCGGGACGAGTACCTACGTTCACGTTTTCGGAATTGCCGAAGAACGTCAATGGAAGATTAAGAATGTCCATCGATATCCAATTTTTTAAATAAAATCCCCATGGGAAATAATATCATTTGTTGAGTAACGTCGAAGCGAGATTGAATATATTCCACGCCGCGTTACCTAATTTACCACCATGAAAAACGTAGCGATCCACCCATTGACATTCTAATTCCAATTTCATAAATAAATTCGCCACGAGGAATATCCATGCGTTCACCTTTCCCAAATTGTTGAGTAACGTCGAAGCGAAGTTGAATATATTCCACGCTGCGTTACCTAATTTACCACCATGAAAAACGTAGCGATCCACCCATTGACATTCTAATTCCAATTTCATAAATAAATTCGCCACGAGGAATATCCATGCGTTCACCTTTCCCAAATTGTTGAGTAACGTCGAAGCGAAGTTGAATATATTCCACGCTGCGTTACCTAATTTACCACCATGAAAAACGTAGCGATCAACCCATTGACATTCTAATTCCAATTTGCTAAATAAATTCGCCACGAGGAATATCCATGCGTTCACCTTTCCCAAATTGTTGAGTAACGTCGAGGCGAGGTTGAATATATTCCACGCCGCGTTACCACCGTGGAAAACGCAGCGATCCACCCGTCGACGTTCCCCAATTTGCTGAGTAACTCGGCCGCAAAGAACAACGACGCACCGAAGTCCCCAATTTACCGACTCGGAGGAGACGCTCCGCCAGGCGTCGAAGTCTCCTCTCCTCGAGCGCTTCCGCGACAAGTCGCTGACGAGAGGCGCAAAGGAGACCGGGCGGTCCTCGAGTCCCCCAAACCGGGGCCCTGTATATCTCGTGTCGTAATCTTCGGGGCCGGGCCCATCGGCCGTCGCGAGCAGCGGCCGTCGCAGGAGGATTTACAGGGCAGTCCCCGCCGAAAACAAACCTGTAAACGAACCTGCAGCCGGTCGCCTCCGATTTAAGAGGCACTCTTGTAATTACGAGGGCCCACATAGCGGGGCCCGACGTCAGGTGCCGCCCTTTACTATCGGCTCCCGGTAATTCGACCTCCAGATTTTAGGAGGCGGTTTCGCGAGCGAGGGTCCCGGTAAGGCCCCGACCGGGTTCAAAGGTCCGTCGAGATTTATCTCGACCATTAAGAGATACGCCATCTTTGCCCGGCGCCCGTGCTAGGCCCGCGTCGGGGGCCTTACGCCTCTTCTTTCGCCTTCCCCCCCGCGGAATCGATAATGCATCGCGGCCAGGAATCGATTGGAAGGATCTCGATATCTCGAATCTTGTAGCGCAGGTAGTGCGGTGGCGTGTCCGCCTCGTTACCGGCGTACACGCCGGCCCGGTCGGGCCCTCTTCTCGTAGTTCAGGTGAGGCCCGCGGGGCCCGCCAATTCATTAAGCAGTAATTGAGTTTTCAGCTTCGAGATAGAGCCCCGAGAAAACGAAGGAGAGGACCCTCTACCAGGGGAAGACCTCGTCCGACCAAGGGCCCGACATCGCCCGCGAATTAAGCACAGACAACTCGTGACAGATGTCCCGCTGATGAGTCACTAAACTCTGGACAAACGACGCGGTCCCGCCGCGTTTCCGCGTCCCTCTCGCCCCACTTTCGCGGGGGAAACGCGACCATCGGGGTTTCGTTAATTGCGGAGTCGTAATTTGACGTCCGCCTGGGGAATGTCGCGTGAAGGATGGGCCTCGCCGAAGGAATTCCTCCGCCGAGGGCCCGGAATTCCAGGACGGAGCCGACAAAAAGATTACAGGTTTCTCCTGAATTTTAATTTAAAATTAAAGCGATACCAGGCGGGGGAGGGACCGCTCGAGATAGGATACGACTCGTCTTCGAGGCCCGGCTGAGTGAGATTCGGGCACACCCACTGTCTCTGGGTATTAACTCTGGAGATCCACTTCGAGCGGGGATTTCGAGCGCTTCGCTTCTCGGCTTCTACCCCTGAAGAGCTCTTGTTAGCCTCTTCTTTTCTTCTTTTTCCTCGGCGTTTTATCGGGCAACGATGATGGTACCGAATTCTTCGGCAATGGGCCCTCGATTGAGTCGTACACATCGCCGGGCTCGGAGCCATTCCTCGATCATAGGAAATCTCGCTTTTTCTCATCGACAACTCACGGTAATGGCCTTTCCTTCCGTGCCAATACCGGGGCTTTTTTGCCGCGCCTCCCTGTCGCTCTTCAAGGTTTTTCCGCCTCGGTCCCTCGCCTCGCGACCGCAGCTAACCAGCTGCACGTAGAGTCGGACCCTCCACCAGCTACCGAGAGGTGGACGGTACCGCAAGGATGCCCGCCAGAGGAATAGCTGCCCGTGGAGCGGAGAACCCGAAGAGGTAGCTGAAGGAGAGGCCGAGGTGCCGGGGCAGAGGGCGTCCTGCTACCATTTCCCCTCGCCTTTCGCCTCATCCGCGGCAAAAAGCTCGCCATTCATTAGAGCTGCTCGCGCTATTAAGGTAATCGCCCGAGTGGGCCCGATATGCCAGCTGACGTTTGGTGGGCCTGCTCTGCCGCGAATCTACGAAGCCGATCAGAGGAGAGGAGGCCTTGAAGAGGAACTCGAAGAGGATTTTGTAAAGGAATTACGAGAGGAACACGAAAAAGAACTTGAAGAGGAACGGTGATAGGCAAATTCGATTTTGATCTCCCAGCCTTGGTCTTGGACTAGCAAAACATGATCATAAGATCAAAACTAAGATGATGGTAGTCTTGGATAAGTGCACCAATAAGAGGCTGTGACCAGGGAAATCGGTCGTAGAGTCGTGCACTTTTTAGAAGACCGAAAACTAGGCTCGACAAGATGAAGACGCGAGGATACAAGACCAAGACCAAGACCAAGACACCAAGCCTTTATCTTGCGTTCGCTCGGCTTTAACCAAGAACTTGAGGAGAAACTTGAAGAGAAACAGAGCCCAGGCCATCGTTTTCCTCTGCCACTCGAGAACTGGTCCCAGTCCCTGGACCACTTCCGGAGTTCCCCACCTGGCCGGACGTCCACCGGAAGTGAGGACACCGCGGTGACGAAGTTATCGCCGTCAGTCCCGGGCGCTCCGTCACAATGCGGCCGCAAACAAATAAATATGACGAACGAGACGCGAAGCTCGAGTCGTAAATCAAGACGCCGCACTTCTCGGGCTCGTTCAACGACGAGCGAGAGTTTCGACCAGCTCGGACCTCGACCAAGTCGATCTCGAGGAGCTCGCTCCAGTTTCTTCAGGGTCGAGCTCGCGACTCTCGGGGCCGTCATTGAAAATCGTATCCTCTCCGGGTTTTCGGACCGGAGAGGGGCAGAGCGAGGATAACGTTGCTCTTCTTCGGTTCTCTCGGACTTCCTGGAGAACTCGGCCTCGATGACTCGACCTCGAGCACGACCCGAGGCCGTTGCTTCCCGCCGGCCGACAACCGGGCCTTCTGGCACGGGACGATCGCTCGTAACGTAACTCACGACAGCGGTTTCTGTTCGCCCGCGGCGCGCCATTTTACGATCGCATTTATTTTATTTAGATTTATTTGATTTGCCGCAATTTTATTCGGTTATTTATCACCGCGCCGGCACGTCACAGCGCCGCCCGGCGGCCTGCCTACGCGCGGGCGGCCGTGCGAAGGCGCCCACGAGTCCCCCTCTGGGCCCTAAGGCCCTCGGGCCCATAAGGCCCATAAGGCCCATCGGACCCCTTCGACCAGGATCGCGCGCAAACCCCGTTTCCGACCCCGCTGACCTTACCGCGCGTATCTCCTTATCGCTCTTCGCCTTTGTCGACTTTCCATAAGCCCCGATATCCAAAATGGCGGAAATATGCAATTTGATGAATCTTTTCTCAATTATCCACGAATTCTAATTTCCGCCATGGTGGTCATTCGCCATTTCGTCGAACATTATCACGCTTAATTCCTTATCACTCCTTCTTTTCGTCAATTTTCCGCGAGTCCTAATTTTCATCGCGGAGGAAAATGACGATTCGTCATCGACTGGCCCAAATCCCCAGCGCCTCCGCGGGCCCGGACCCTCCTCAGGGAGTCCCCAGAGCTTCCGTGGACGCAGTCGGACGGGTCGATGGCACGCGCGTCCACCTGGCCGTCTCCTCGTCTCTCGAGTCTCGTCAAACCTGCCCTCCCTCCCTCGTCGAGCCAACTCCATCCATCGGGCGTCGCCATCTTGGCGACGCCGCTCCGGGCCCTAACGATTCCGCGACGCTCGAGCGCCGGCCGAGCGCCGCCGACGTCCGGACGGCATGCCGGCCTGACGGATGGCTTCCATCGCTCGAATTTATTGGCGACCCTCGTCGCGCCGATCGCTCGGCCATTTCTGCCAGACGGGGCCGAGAGCGCGTAACGTACCGTTCGCAACTTCTTCTGGGTCGGCCTGGCTACGTGACGTGGGTACCGAGCGCGGACCCACCCCGACCGTGAAGAGCACCCTCCGCCCCGGAAGAACCGCGACTTCCGGGTCAGGATTTGTAATTCGGATCCCGAAGAAACCACTTCGCGAAACTGCGCGGTCGTTAAAGGGCGGGAGGATGGAAAAGAAATCGACTCGCATTCCCGACCTCGTCCCTCGGGAATCCATCCTGCAGGACCTCGGTAACGGCAACGGCCCCCGGCCGGTTCCTAGTAAACGACCTCCCGAGTGTCTCTCTTCCCTCTGGCATCTTCTGGACACCCGGCATCGCTAATTAATGAAGCCGTTCGCCCAGGTTTTGACGGACCGCTTCACCTGTCCGGCCTCTGGGGCACCGACACCCTGAAGCGTGGACGATGGATCATACGGAACGGAGTTACCTGAGGTGACGCTTTGCTTAGGACATTTCTGGGGGTCCTCGAGGTAAAATGAAAGGGAAGGGTATCTTTAGGAAGACCCTCTTCAAGGTGTGGGGAAGTCTCAAGATCACCGAGATATACGGCCCAGCTCCGCATTGAAGTCTCCTGAAAGCTCAACGTCGCTAATTAATTAAACTCTTCATTATGGCTAATCGTTTGACAAATCGATACACTTGTCCGAGTTCTGAGGTACCTACACCCTGAAGAGTGGAGGACTAATCGGACGTTCTGGAGAAATGAGTTACCCCGTGTTGGTTGGGACACTTTTCGGGGGTTTCCGGGATGAAGGGACTGGGGGCTTTCCTTCGGGAGGCGGAAACCACTCTTCAAGGTGTGAAGGAGCTCCAAGGCTACCGAGATACGGCTGCGGAAGGTCGGTCCAGATGCGCGGCCCCTGATAGGCCGATAAAATTCTCCCGTTAGGCCTCGAGGAGGACTTTCTCGTTCCCGCGGCTCCACGCCTCGCGGAGCTACGCAACGAGGCCTCCAGCAACGGCAACGGCAACGATAACGACAATAACAGTCCGAGGCTTTACTGCCGAGAGCAAAGGCAAGGTTCGGCCCGGGCGCTGGTCGAGCCTCGCAACCTACCATTACGATCATTATGGGAATACGATAGTCGTTCAGCGTCCTCTCGAACGTTCGTGGGCAACATGGCGACCACTTTGCTGCCGAGCCATTACCGGGTCCTTATTAAGCTACCAACTACTATTAATGCCACTATTCGCGTCGGCGTCACCGCCGTCCAGGTCGACATCGTCGACGACCGTCGCGTGATCCCCGAGGGACATGTTGAAGATACGGGATTCAAGAAAGTTCTGATAAAAATGAGTTCTGGAATGCTGAAGAGGTTACTGATAAGGAATACGAGGGGAGTATTAGTGAGGCTAGTACCTTCTGATACCAGTCTAGCAATGACGCTGGGTTTGGTCCCAGTGGTACCAGAAACCTTGAAGAGGCCCGGACTGGTTACTGTCGAACCGTTACCAAGTTCTTATGAAACCACCAACCACTATCCACGTCGACGTTAACGGCATCGAGGTCGATGTCTTCAACATCGGGAGATATACTGAAGGGACAAGAATGAGGAACGATGAAAAAGAGATACGAAATTTCCTATAAATTATGGATCCGGAGAAGCTGAAGAAATGAGCGATAAAATGAATTGAGACTGTTGATAAGACTAGTACTGCTTGGTACCAATCCAGAGAAGACGTTGGGTTTGGTCTCAGCGGTACCAAAACCTCCGAAAAAATAAATTCGGAGATTGTGAAGAAGTGATCGATAAGAGGATACGAAGAAATTATGGAACACTCTGGTACCACGCGGTACCAATCCAGCGACGACGTTAGGTCTGGTCCCAGTGGTACCGGACCTCTCGAAGGGGACCGGACTGGTTGCCGAAGAGAAAAGTGTGGAACGCGGTGCACCCCATGATTCATTAGTGGAAATCATTTACCTTCGATGGCAAGGCGGCATTAAGTGCCGTTATCACAGCACACTACCCGAGACCCCCCCTCAGCGGAAAGCTAGGAACTCGAACCCACTAGTGTACGCATTAAGCCCCGATATCCAGTGATTAAGCAGCGAGGTTTATAAATCCTAGAGGTCCGACTAATCCCTTAAGGACCCTCGTGGGCCCTAACCGATGACTCTCAGATTCCCAGCCTGGTGCGACGATTTTTCACCGGCAATAGAGCCGCCATTAATCCCCGAAAATGTCTCTCTTAGCATCCGACGCGAACGTCTTAATCTCACGCCCACGAAGAGTGATGTCTAGCGGCGACAATTCTGGCGGCTCTTCAGGGTGGAGGGAGCCAGAGGAGATACCGGAGTCCAGGATTCCCATTCATCGCGGGAGTTTCCATTTTCCTAGAGAGGTGTCCTTTCTGGGCCAGGAAACCGGGCCCCAGGATGTCGAAGGGGAATTTCACGCCTCCTCGGCGCGGGTCTTCTGGTAACAATGCGCGCGCCACTTTCGAGGCTCTTCGGGGAGGGCGCGGTGTAACGGGCACGGAAACCGTAACCGCTCGTTACGTAACCCGGGCCCGGGTTTTGGGCCCTGGGGCCCCGGCGGTCCTTGCGGGCCCGAAAAGCGGGGCCCAATCGCGCTCCCGCGAGAGCGTGCGAAAGAGCCGGCCGAGGAGGGCCCCCTCCTACCCCCGTCCTCGTTATCTCCGCAGGACGAGGTGGGCCCGGGCCCACCTGGACAAAGGGCCCACTTTCCCCCCGCGGGATTGAGACAATGAGAGTGTCGGGGGACTCGCGTCGCGACGCGCGCGAGAGACAATCGGGCCCCTGGTGAACGCCGTGGGCCCGGGAGCAGCGGCGCGAGGCCGATCCAATTTACGATAGGGAACCGACGATCGGAGAAAAAGGACCCATAGGACCCCGTATAGCTCCTCTCGCCCCCTCACCCCTCCGCCCCCGGGCCCCACCGATGAAACGGGCCGCTTGGCATGTGGAAAGGCTCCGCATCGCCGCATCACTCGGCCCCCGATACGCGGCCCTAGGGGGCCCAAATAATTAGTTGATATGCAAATTGTTTTAACCCCGCTTCCTCCCTCTCCCGGGGGACCCAAAACGGGGCCCGGTACCACCGAAGTCGCCGAAAGTTGGCGACCCGGTCGGCTCCTCCCAGCAGGAGGAAGACGGGGAACTGGGTCGGTCCCAGTGCCGGACTGCTCCTGGGCCACGTGGGGGCTGCTGGTCCCCGTTCCTCTCTTTCAGGTTATGTTATATTTCGACGGAGAATATAATGTACGATTCCCTTCCGAGATTTTTTTAGATTCTCCGGTATTTCCCGTATAATCAGAATCCTTGAAGAGGTGTCACTCGGTTTTGAATTTTTCTATTTAGTGGAAAATTCCTCTTTGGAGTCCCCAATGGTCCCTAATTGTCTTCGATGGTCCCTAAAGAAACCCGCTGCTGCGACTGGGCCCGACTTTGGACCCGGACAGGGTCATCAATCCAGATCCGACGTCGCTCTTCATTATTATACGCACACGCGGGCGCGGCCGGCTCACGCATGTAGGCGCGAATCGAATCTTAATATCGGTTTCGTGCAATTAAAGCCTAAACGTTGCCACCTGCGGTGATCCCT